CGCCAGCTGCAAAAATCGCATGGTTTCTGGCCGCTAGCGTCAAAAATAGCGCGGTTTTCTGCCGTTAGCGGCAAAAATCGCCCGATTTTTGGCCGCTAGCGGCGAAAATCGCGCGGTTTTTGGCCGGTAGCGGCGAAAATTGCGCTATTTTTGCCCGCCAGCTGCAAAAATCGCATAGTTTCTGGCCGCTAGCGTCAAAAATCGCGCGACTTTTGGCCGCTAGCGGCGAAATTCGCACGATTTGTGGCCGCTAGCGGCGAAATTTGCACGATTTTTGGCCGCTAGCGGCGAAAATCGCCCCGTTTTTGGCCGCTAGCGGCGAAAATAGCCCCTTTTTTGGCCGCTAGCGGCGAAAATCGGTCGATTTTTGGCAGGTAGCGGCGAAATTCGCGCGATTTTTGCTCGCCAGCTGCAAAATTCGCATGGTTTCTGGCCGCTAGCGTCGAAAATAGCGCGGTTTTCTGCCGTTAGCGGCAAAAATCGCCCGATTTTTGGCCGCTAGCGGCGAAAATCGCACGGTTTTTGGGCGCTAGCGGCGAAAATCGCGCTATTTTTGGCCGGTAGCTGCGAAAATCGCGATTTTTGCCCGCAAGCTGCGAAAATCGCATAGTTTTTGGCCGCTAGCGGCGAAAATCGCGCGGTTTTTGGCCGGTAGCGGCGAAAATCGCGCAATTTTTGCCCGCCAGCTGAAAAATCGCATAGTTTCTGGCCGCTAGCGGCGAAAATCGCGCGATTTTTGGCCGCTAGCGGCGAAATTCGCACGATTTTTGGCCGCTAGCGGTGAAATTTGCACGTTTTTGGCCGCTAGCGGCAAAAATCGCCTCATTTTTGGCCGCTAGCGGCGAAAATAGGGTCTTTTTTGGCCGCTAGCGGCCAAAATCGGTCGATTTTTGGTAGGTAGCGGCGAAATTCGCGCGATTTTCGCCGCTAGCGGCCAGAAACTATGCGATTTTTCAGCTGGCGGGCAAAAATTGCGCGATTTTCGCCGCTACCGGCCAAAAACCGCGCGATTTTCGCCGCTAGCGGCCAAAAACTATGCGATTTTCGCAGCTTGCGGGCAAAAATTCACTACACCAAGAAATTCTTGCAACTTCTTTGGAGTAGATGGGCGCGGGAATTCCTTGATTGCCTCGATTTTCTTCTCTAGTGGTTGGACCCCTGCTGCTGACACACGGTGTTCCAAGAAATCCAGTCTGGAACATGGAAAATACACTTCTCGGAGTTGAGCTGCAAGCCGAAGTTGCGCAGACGGGTGAGAAGGAGTCGGAGGTGTAGCAGATGTTCTGTTGGTGATGTACTGGCCACCAGCAGATCGTCAATGTAGGCGTAGCAAAAAGGAAGGTCCTTAACTACTTGGTCGATGAAGCGTTGGAATGTCTGGGCTGCATTCCGTAGACCAAAAGGCATCCGGACGAATTCAAACAGTCCAAAAGGTGTTGTGATCGCTGTTTTCGGAATGTCTGCCGGTTCCACAGGGATCTGGTGAAATGCCCGCACAAGGTCAATTTTCGAAAAAACGGTTGCGTTGCTCAATCCCTGTGAGAAATCCTGGATGTGTGGTATTGGGTAGCGATCCGGCAGAGTGCGAACGTTGAGAGCCCTGTAGTCTCCGCAAGGGCGCCATTCCCCTGGGGCTGTTTTCGGGACCATATGGAGAGGTGAAGCCCATGGACTGTTCGAAGGGCGGATTATTCCCGCCTCCTGTAGCTTATTGAATTCAGCACGTGCTACCGCCAGTCGTTCCGGTGCCAGGCGGCGTGGTCTGGCGAAGGTAGGTGCTCCCGTTGTAGTAATGTGATGCGTAATCGTATGTTGCACCTCTGGTCGAGGGCTGGCGGGTTGGGTCACATCTTTGAATTCATCCAGGAGTGCTTGAAGTTCCGTAGATGCGACTGGGGTGGCGATGTTAACTTGTGTAGAGGTACTAGGAGAGGCTCGAAGTACTGCACCTGCGGGATCCACCATAAGTCGATGGTGTTGCAGGAAATCCCATCCAAGAATGGGTTGTTCCACATCCGCTATGAGGAAAGTCCACGCAAAGCGACCCAGAGAGGCGAACTCGAGAACCAGGGCGCGGGTCCCATATGTACGGACGGACGTACCATTGGTGGCTCGTAAGTCCAAACCAGGAGTACGGGTTGGTTTGACCAGTGGGGGAGGCAACACGCTAGTTGCTGCACCTGTGTCAACGAGGAAACGGCGTTTGGTTATGACGTCAGATATGTAGAGCAGTGTAGTGTTTGAAATGGCGGGGTCACTGGCCGTTAACAGTCCCCGCCGAAGTAGTTTCCCGACCAGGAACAAGGAGCCCTACAGTTGCGGGCTTGGTGTCCGAACTTCTGGTGGTAAGAACAAAGCTCTCCCCGACGTTCTCGCTGTTGCCTAGAGACTGATACTGGATTCGCATGGTACGTTTTCCCTGGGTGGAAGAAATGCCGGTTCTGGAGGACGTCGAGTTGTTGGGTGTCTGTAGTCTGCTGTGTATCACTGAGGTGGGACAGCGTAACGTTATCAGACGTTGTATGAAGCCGGTCTGCCAGTGTAGCCAGCTGGGCTAATGGGGTGTCGTCAGCCATACTGAATAGGGCCGGTTGAATGTGTTTTGGACAGAGTTGTATCCACAGTGATCTCACAATCTCGCTGGGGGCTGGGCCAGTTGCAGTATGCATCACATACTGAATATGCCGCAGAAGCTGAGCTGGTGTTTTGTCTGCTAATCTTTTGTCAGTGAGGAGTTGGTCCCTTTGTTGAATGCGGCGTTTCATTGCTGCCTTTAGAAGAGCGGCCTTCAATGCAGTCTACGTCCAGGTGTCCGGTGATGGCGCGGTGATGACAGCGGAGGCAGTGTGCATAGCCTCCGAGGGAAGTGTTGGCAGGGTACAGGCATATCGGGCTTTCTCAGTCGAAATTTCGTGAAGGTCGAAAATAGCCTCCATCTGCATGAACCAAAATTCTGGCTCATCTGCGTTGTATGCTGGAAACCTGGTAGATAAATCCATGTAGACCTATAGAAGAAGATCTAGTTTGTGACTAGGTGTTCTTTTTCACTCACTGGGTCAACAATGTAACGGTTCTATTGTTACGTAAAGTATGGTGACAAACACAGACACTAAGATACTATATATATATTTGGTCGAATATACAGAAGTACACAGGTGATACTTTGGTGTGAGTTGAGCGCACTGAGCGTCGGTACAGTATCTCGCAAGTGTCTGCTCTAGACCACACTTGAAAGTAGACTAGCCAATGTTCACTACTCCGCTGCTTTTTTTTTTTTTTTTTTTTTTTTTTTTTTTTGAGATATATACAAAAGTTGTTACATTCTTGTACAGCCACTAGTACGCGTAGCGTTTCGGGCAAGTCCTTAATCCTACGGTCCCTGGAATACGATCCCCTGCCGCGAAGAATCGTTTTTTCATCCAAGTACACATTTTACTGTTGCGTTAAACAGAGGCTACAGTTAAGGAATTGCGCCCAGTAAATCCTCCCCGGCCAGGATACGAACCCATGACATAGCGCTCGCGGAACGCCAGGCGAGTGTCTTACCACTACACCACGGAGACTGCTTATATGCTCGGGCAACACCTCACCGTGTTGCCCGGGCAACGCCTCGCCTCATTCATCTCCAAAGGTTGACAGGAATATTAACAATGCATTTGGAGCAAGTATATTATTGGGATAATCTACTCGCTACAATGTTATGAAACAATCAGAAAAAACAAAAACCTTTTATTACATAAAACAGACCATACATTTTGTCACCATACCAAAGACTATCTATTGTACAAGGAGATTTTATCACAGGTATCTTAGAGAAATGTGTCTCTGATTGTCAGATCTTCACCATTAAAATATAGTTTGTAAATGATTTACAAAGTTGTGTGTAAAAAGACATTATGGAATTAATTGGAATATACATGGAATGCATGAAAGCTGTGACATTGGAGAAATTATGTTGACTAAACCACACACTAGAAAGTGAAGGGACAACGACGTTTCAGTCCGTCCTGGACCATTCTCTCAAGTCGATTGTGTATCGATCACACAATCGACCTGAGAATGGTCCAGGACGAACCGAAACGTCATCGTCCCTTCAATTTCTAGTGTGTGGTTTGGTCAATATATTTCAGCTATGTTATTGTGATTCCTCGTCTGCATTGGAGAAATTAAAAATAATATCAGTGCCTGTATTTAGAGAGAGCAACACATTACTTATTAAATAGCTGATAATTTCTTTCCTTTGGTGTTGATTTTACTATAAAACATATAGTATACAAGTGCAAAAGACTCAAATGCAATACTTATTCTATTTATTGAATGATGCTCAATATTGGTATATTCATTAATATGATAATGACTGTCCTTTTATTTGTACTACAGTATATCAAATTTTGACCTGAAATACTAAAGAGAAAAAGAAAAGATGTGTCAACTAATGCTTGGTGGCATATAGGGAAAGAAATTAAAAAAAATAAAAAGAAAATGAATGAGCGTTAGAAACTCGACTAAATAATGGAGATTATAATTTTTTTATTTTACAACTTAGTTAAGATAAAACAACAAATAAGAAATAAATATATATATATTATATGACAGTGTCAGACCACGGAAGAAGAATTGAAACAGGAATTTCCTTAAGTACTTTCGTATATTAATACATCTTCAGAAGGAGATATATTCCACTCCTTCTGAAAATGTATTAATATACGAAAGTACTTTAGGAAATTCCTGTTTCAATTCTTCCTCTGTGGTCTGACACTCACATTTTTAATCACACGTTGATTTTTCATGATTTACACACATTATTATATATATATTCTTGCTTATATAACTTTTTCACTTTAACCATCATAGTTGGCATAAGCTGAATAAGCAACAAAATTTAATATATGTATACTGTATATTTAACAAGTTTGGGCATGTAATTCAAATCAAACATGATCAGAATCGGGCAGACTTGCAAGAAATATCAAGCCAACTATTAAAAAAGAATCACTGTGTTTTAATAAATAGATTACCAGGTACCTACACTGTACAATAAAATAAATGCAATTTGTTAACAAGCCAATCACTTTAAACTAAACAATAAAGATTTTACCTATTTATGAAAATCACAACAATAACCATATGAAGTCACAATATATTGTAATATATTTGTATATACTATCATCATAGCATACAACCACCTTAGTTTAATTAATTCTCGGGAGCATTTGTGATACCTATAGAAGAAGGACCACCAAAGTATGCATTTATTTCTTCCAATGTCTTGCCCTTGGTCTCGGGCACAATGGTCACGCAGAACACGAGGTTGACAACACATATACTAGCATACAGCCAATACACTCCATAGGTCCCCAAGGCTGTCTGTGGGAAGAACAAGGCAAAACATCAATGCGAGTATGAATAATAATGTTTCATAGTATTTCCCATTGCCAAAATTAATTACTAACAATGACAATTTGATTGATTATTTTATTTTGTATTTACTTTACTACAAATATTTGGTACAGTACTACATATTTATGTATCAAGTATATCACCCTTAAATAAGTGTTTATCAAGCTTACTTGGAGTGGAACAAAGGTTAAGGTGACCACAAATGCTAAACTCCAGTTGAACATAGTAGCAAAACTTCCAGCAGCCTCCTTCACATTGGGTGAAAAGAGCTCACCTAGGAAAGATAAAAAGAGATTTAATTGCATTGTGAATATATTATATTGCATATGCTGCATATACATTATACATTTTCAACATTCAGTAAGTGGTGAAAAAGTGAATAATTCAATTTTCAGCACAGTAATGAGCATGCTGTGTTAGATCCAACATTATTGAGAGAAAATGGTTTAAGAAATTCCAGAAACAACAAATAAAAATATATTGCACATTATATAAATTTCACTCACTTAAACATTCATTACACCAGGTAAAATAAACAAGTAAACAAAATAATAAATACACTGTAATTTTGTTATTTCCAATCATTTGTAAGTTTTAAGAATTTACATACATAAATTAACCATCTTTCATGAACATACTAACCTGTCAGTATTACTGTCCAATATGACAAACCTTAAATACCAGCATTGGAGAAAGAAACAACAATAAAGATTCAGTGTTGATGGAAAGCTCCTTACTGTGCAAGGCTTCCTAATGTTGCTCCCTAAAGATACAAAGTAAGGTTCACCCTCCAATACCTCCAAGTCTTGATGTCAACAAACTACAATAGTGGAGGACAACGACATCAAGAAGGTAGGACTGATGCAACCTGTTAAGCACCAGATCACCCCTATGTTACAAATGTCAGAAAAAAAAAGAGGCATTAAAATTAGACTGTGAATAGGATACAGCATCAAAGATGCTTCAAACAGAAACCCAGGGACCTCATTACTCTAACATCTGTAGCAAAATTTCACTCTAAACTAGTGGTAAAACAAAGACGCTGCTAACAGGAGCCTCATATTCTTCCTGGGAAGAAAAGACCACTCCCCCAACTTCATAGCTGCAAGAGCAGATAGTTCCAATTTGTGCTCAGGATTTTCTAACAAATCCTCATCAAACAGTAAAAAAACATAGACTCAGTCTTCAAAATACCCATGGCAGTTCCTGGCCACCTAAGGGGTGACTGAGTACCCCAGAAGCATGGAACTACAAGCACCCTTTCTGTACAGAAACCGAGACTTGCAAGTTTACGAGAAAACACTACCAAATGCTATAAGTAAAAGAAGGGAGTCTGCAATGAGCCAAAATCAACCCAAAACTGTGACATTTAGCCCAATAACACTCAGATTAGCTGAAACAAAATAAGCATGCTGGTAAGACTGGGGGCTCAAGTTTATTCACAGACCATCTATACCTAATAAGATGGAATACACCTATGGATGGAAGAGACCCTTACCAGGAGGACTGCTGAAGGCAGCAAGAATTCCCTTCAGGTTTAAAAAATAAAACTGAACCAGTACTCTGTAAAACTGACCCATGCAAAATAATGTAAAACTCTGTACTGTATCAAGTTGCCATGGATAAAAACACAGGTAGGCAAATACTTAGTCATAACCAGTTAAGTTTAATCTCCATATATCATACCTGCATTATACATGGAGGTAATTTTATGAGGTTGATCTTCATATTCCTGGGTATACATGGAGGTTATTGTTGAGGTTAGTCTTTACATACCTGTATATGCATGGAAGTCAGTGTAAAGGTCAGTCTACACATATATGTGTATGCATGAAGATCATTATCGAGGTTGTTATCAAAGTGCTAACATTTCATTCAAATTTAACAAGATTCACGTGCAAGACAGTTTACAAATCCAAAATTTACCTATCATGAGCCAGGGAATGGGGCCATAGCCAATTGAGAAAGCTGTAATGAAGATGATGAGTGAGGTGAGAGGTAACCAACCCAACTTGTTTACCGCCCATGTCTTGTCTTCCATCTTTTCATAGAAGAACTCTCCAAGCGCAACTGAAAAATATAAGTGACAAATAGCAGTCTCAACTTGATAGCAAAGAAGGACTATATGTTCTTTAAATAATTAGTAGCTCAAGGCAGCATAGAGGATATAGGATAGCCAAGGTGGAAACTCTTTCATCTGCATAATGCAGCAATACTGCTAGAAATAGTTTACACCCACTCTCTCATTAACAAATATAATTCCTAATTAATAAATCATTGTGTCGGGGAACAGGAAGCCAGAGTGCACCTGTATTCATAAACCTTTTATCAAGGTCATTCCTCAAGGCCAAATTACTGACCCAGTCCAGGATAAAACCCCACAACAAGCTGACTAACTCCTGAGTATCTACTCAATGCTAGGTGAACAGAAGCATTAGGTGAAAGGAAATGTGCCCAATCATTTCTGTCTCGTGTCGGGAACGAACCCGACTGTACTACCAGGACCCTCAAACAGGCATCTCCATATTATATACCTATCCTCCCAGCATAATTAGGAAGTTTTTAATAATTTTCTATCCCACACAACCAGTCTTTGAAATGCTGATTACCTTAAAATAATATTTTCACACAAGTTTGACAATATGCAAGGTAAATTCATATTTTGTTCATCAGATACTGCTTTTAATTCTCTTTACTCTTCAAAGCTCTTGTCAGGCCAATCTCATAAAAAACCAGTAAACCAGTAAAAAAGTAAACAATCATGTTTACTTTTACACCTGCTTATTCATACATACTTAAATTACTTTTATTTAAATTTGTCTAGTACAGCATAACTCACCTGTGAAACAAATCTTATTTTTACCCCTTTGTAGTAGAGGGAAAACACATACATTCCAAAATAAATGATTTGCATTTACATGGTGGTAAAAAACCTAACCAGTTCCAATGCCTGCCCATAGGCTTAAATGTCATCATATCACTCATTTGTTTCAGCATCAGATAATGTTAATTATTTTTATCCATATCTGTTCTCTGAACCATGCTACACAACACTGAGTTGATTTTTTTCATTTTGATTTTCAATGGCTGTAACTCAGTTAGAATTAAGGTTTCATTTGTCTAAAACTAAAGAGGGGCAAAAATATCCTGGTATAAATAATTAAGTATATCATACCAAAGTTGTGAAGATAAGAGGAAGTCAAGAATAGGGAGACTGTATAACGGAAAATAATTGATAATGATGTGGAAGGGAGTGGAGACTCACAAACCAATGTGAAGTACAAGAGAATAAAAACAAATTGTTGAAGCAATGTAGAAATTATGATTCATTTTGTTTCCCTTAAGATTAAGTTTACTATGACTATTACAACTACTGTATTTATATTAAAAAAGGAAAATTTAATCTGAATGTGCTAAAGGCCCAAAATGGGGTATGAACTGGATTTCTGTTTACAGTCAACAGACTATTTTTTCCACAATACCTTTGTAGTTGCTCAATCAAATTAAATTAAATTTGACATGATTATTATTAACAAAGTCTGGACTTGATTAGTGTAGGGTGAATTAAACTTGCATATTATCAAGTAATTTTCATAATTATTTTTTTATACAAATCCATATAAGGGGTACAAAAGTCTGTTTGGGTACTCAATAACACTTGTATTGTGAAGTTTCGTGTTCATATATCCAACAGGAATGGAACATGATTATTATGTGAAGTACAGTAGATAATAAAGTATGCAAAGTAATGTACACTGACCAAGAGAGAGTGCCATGAAGGATGCTGAAACAATCAGAAGCAACCTCCTGCCAGCCTTGTCCATGAGTACAGTAGCCAGGAAAGTTGAGGCCACTTGTACGACTCCAATGATGATGGAGCTCATGTTATCAGATATAGTAGATCCTGCATCCTGGTGAAGTTAACTTCATTATTATGGATTCAAAACTAGTGAGTAACAATAAATTTGAAGTACAAATTCCACATTAGATGCAAAATTATAACTTAGTCAATTTTATGATAATAATGTACCATGAACTTAGAATTTAGTGATGGTTTTTTGGTCATAGGCCATGCACCAAAAGTGGTTAGTTACCAGATCTAAAACTTTCTTTAAAATAAAATCTGTATTTTCTAATAATATAGTATATACTACAAAAGGCATAAGAATACTAAACATTGTTACAAAATATGATATGAGGGTGTGGCTATGTCGTATCGATCTGGTGAATTGAAGTGGCATCGATCACGTAGACTCTTTGCTTCATGTGACCATAGTTAGCTCCAATAACAAAAGATTTATAGCTTTCTAGGAGTTCTGTTTTATTATATTAAACCCCAATGAGGCTCCACTGAACTACAATGATACCTGGTGGGTAAATTTAAGTTAACTAAAAAGCAATAAGCATTTCATTTGCAAATGCTGTACCTCTGAAGGGGTCCCGGTAGTACAGTCGGCTTCATTTTCGACTCACAATCGAGAATTCTGGGTTCGAATCCCGGCGGGACAGAAATGGCTGGGTGCATTTCCGATCACCTAATGCTCCTGTTTACCAAGCAGTAAATAGGTACCCAGGAGTTTGTCAGCTTGTTGTGGGGCTGCATCCTCGGAAAGGGTCAGTAATTCAACCCTGGGGAGGACCTCGATATAAGACTAACATGTACTGCATGTATTAACTGCCTGTCTGTTCCCTGACAATGAATTATTATTATTATAATTATTAAAACCTTGGTTGCAATAAGTATATGTATGGGGCACAAAAATTCAATAATGAATGGATTATATTCAATACATTATAAGCAAATTTCGAATCTGATTTTTTACTGTTACATCCAAGTACATTTAAAATATAAAAAGATATTAATATACAGTGTATACTTATTACTTTAAGTATAATTTGATCCATATTTCAGAAACAAGTTACAAGGTGGAAAGCACCCTACCAATTCAACACGAATCCAGGAATTTGTTTAGACATTGTAGTCAAATATTTAACCTATCCTCCAGAGAATGTCTGTCCCTATAATGACTGTGGATAGAATGTATAAAATATGGACAACTGCAGCCCTAAAAAATCCACATTTTGTACTAATGTATTCATATACCTGTACAGTACTAAAGTGCAAAACAAACATTGCATTTAAACTTGCCTGTTTTAGGCCTAATAATCAATCCAACCTAAATATACATAATCTTAAGTCAAATTTAAAACACAAATATAGTACAATACTATATTAGGCCTAGGAAAGATTAGGCTTCTTTGTTACCCTCATTCTTGGACCCTCAACAAAATTAACGTGTGGTCCAATTCATGTAATGTTTGTGTGTGTAAGAGTTCGTATTTTGTACATTCAACCTATAACTATATAGGTACTATCATATCTGGAGGCTACGTTGTAATTATTTGGATAGCATAGAAGTTCTTAAAAAACTATTACATTTAATACATAACTCACACTAAATATGGTGGTCAAGTTGAAGAGAACAGAATTAACCCCAGAGAACTGCTGGAAGAACATAAGGGCAAGCGAGATCATGAGAGGCTTGAAGATGTAAGGCTTTGCGAGGTCCTTCAGTGTTGCCTTGTTAAGCCGAGCATCTTCTAAGGACTGCCGCATCAGGTCTAATTCTGTTTGAGCATTGCAATCCTTACCTGTGAGGTAAAAGCATTGGATATCATTGTAATGAACTGAATTATACATTTCTTCATTCTTCACTACCAGTCTCCCAATTCCATGTGATGGGGAGGCATCAGCCCAGAGGAAATAGAAGAGCAAATGGGTAAAGAACATCAAAGATAACAAAAGAAATACCTCATTCAGTTACCTTATCTTCAACACTACATATTTCATCATCATGCGGAACCAGTACTGTCACATTCCAATAACGCACACAACACAGCAACCCACCGTAAACAATGTCGTGGGTTTTATTCTATCATGCAGCCTTAGCATTTATTCATAGAATCATCATAGTCTTGAGATTTCATTGTGCATTCATTTCATTCATAGTAGTAGAAGTAGGCCTCCTGCAGTCTCGGGAGACTATGGAGTTGGGCTCTGGTTGCCTAGGCAGGAGTGTCCTCTCCAGGGCACAAAGTCTGAGTAGGTTGATATGGAGGAGAAGCTGTTACCCATGCAGCAGGTCCCCCTCCCTCTCCACGTCACTGAAATTGTCCAATGGAAAGGCAACCACCAATACGCTTGGTTCCAGCGCCATCGCAGGAGCTGCCAGAACGAGGTCGAAGTCAACAACGAACTGCCATAGACACACCAGCTCTGGATTTTTCACAGAGGATAACTCCTGAAGCCCGTCCCAAAAGTGGGTATAGCCGTGAAGCAGTGGAGGTCAAATTGATTACATCTAGTCTTGTTTCCTATTACTTCCGATACACTGTTCAGACATATTCCCAACGTCTTCTCACAATCAGTCACCATATGTGCACCACTCGGTCAGTGAATTAAATTCTGTTAAATCTGGCTAGTAACTAGTTAGGTGGCTGAGGGTGGCTAGGGAACCTTGATGAGCCCAACAGGCATACTGTCACCAACAATGGGGAAACAGTGCATGGGAATATAAAACACAATAATGCAGAGCATAGTTTCCATTACCTCTGAAGAACTGAAGAGCTGCTGCAGCTTGCTCTTCTTTTCCTTTAGAGAGAAGGAAATATGGAGACTCTTTTGCAAAGAGCATAAGTATACAATAGAGGGCAGAAGGAATTATACACAATCCTGCAAGAAGCTGCCAAGTTGAGACAAGTGCTCCAAATGCATAGGCGTACATCACACCAATTGTTATCATCAACTGGAACCCACTACCTGTGAGGGGAAAGAAAATAAGAAGATTAATTTAATAACTTCCATGGTTATTGTTTCAATGCTCTTCAACCTATGAATACAGTATTAAATTTACACATTAAAAACATTTATCGTAGGGTTTTCACCATTTAATGATACAAAATATCGGAATTATTTCATTAAAATGTTTCACAAACCCATGTGCTTTCGGTTAAGCAAGCACATGTGCTATTAGTCAAGCAAGAGCATACCAAAAATCTCAGTGTAGCAGCAACTGTTTAGCTATAAAGAGTAACATAATAAAACAGAAGAAAGTATAATATCTAGGACAAACATATGCTCTTGCTGTTGATGAGATAAAGTTGCAGAACACCTTGTTAATGGATGAATAATTAAAATACAGGATTTCAAATAAAAGAATATTAATTTGTATATCTAATGAATATGAGTGACCAGCTTGAGAAAAAAATACTGTACTCCTCAAAAGAACAAAGTAACTCACCTAGAGTCCCTCTTACATCAGCTGAAGCAAATTCTCCAATATATGTAGGAACAACGAGGGAAGTAATACCAGCACAAAGTCCTGTTACAATGCGTCCGGTCATCAGCATTCCGAAGTTTTGTGCAAATGCTGAGAATATACGGTGTAATTAATTACTATTGAAATAAACAAAAACCCATTCAAAGGCCTAAGGCAAACTAAGTATGGTAAATGTAGAAAAGATCAACTATAGAGATATGTCAAGTACTGTAATTGAAATGGAGGAGAGTGAAAGTAGGCAATAAGGCTTACAGATTACATGATAGAATTTTTAAACTTATCACCATACTTTATTTTGTCAAGTTTAAAGATATCCATAATACACGCAAATTCTAAAACTATTAGAATATTTAAAATCCAAATCAGAACTATAGTGGAACATGCAGCTGTAGTATGAGGCCCACAACTAATGTATGAGCAAAATAGAAACCTGTAAGGTAATTATCAAGAAAAACCGTAAGTAATATGAAGACAGAAAAAGAGCCGAGATATGAGGATGGAGTGAAGGAATAGTGCCCAAATTCTTATATCATTTGGGATTCAAGATCAATACTGTAAGATCATCACATTACAATCAGTCAAAGTGGATGGATAAATTCAAAGACATGTAAAACAAAATAGATGCCAGAGCTATGAGGAAAGGCTGAAGACTTTTGAATATAACAAAAAAATATCATGGACCTCACACAAGTCTGCCAAAGAATATGAGAGAGAAGCTTTTGAAACATGACATTTGCAAACTATTGTATAAATGACAAAGATAATGTATTTCTTCACTAGTGAGACTGATTTTTGGACTAAACTTCAGGAGATGGTAGTGTGTATTAAAACCATTGAAAGAAAAAAAATATTATAAAATATATAAATTATAGAAAGACAGTACACCACAACTGGCATTTTATAACTATAAATTACACCAGAAACCAGATTACACCAGAAATTAAATTACACCATAGTTTGTACAATACAGAAAATACATGCATAATACAACTTATGCTCAATAGTTAAAGAAAGATACAGAGCATATAAGTCAACAGTTGCACGTACCAATAAGAAGCCATCCAGCGACAAAGGGTACCGTGGAAGCCAGCATTGTGCCTCGTCTACCTAAAACACCAAGACACAGGCCACCAACAGGACCCCCCATCAGAGCTCCCAAGTTCATTGACGATGAGAACCACATATTTTGTTCCGTGGTCAGATGCAGCGGTCCAGTGGTTGTATTAGACATTAATTTAGGACCAGCTGGAGATGAGTAGCCCAACACAGTCCCAGCAGCCAGGGCACCCATGGTAGCTAATGACAATGTTAGTGCAGTATTAGATGGACAAGCTGAGAAAGCAATCAATTCATGCATACAATTCCAATGATGTAAAATTTACTCAATTCATTAATTACTATAATCCATTTAATTTTGCAATCCAATAAGGCATAAAGACACCCATTTCTTTTATTCTTTCTTATTCATGCTCACTACATCTCCATCTTTTAGGGCTCTTTTCCACCTGGAAAAAAACAAGGCAAATGAGGGGACCTTTGACAAGCTGCCGACTTCCAGTCCTCGTCGAGGCCACTAGGGTTACTGGCCCTCAGGTAAATCAGGTAAATCTTTTTATATAATTCAATGATGCACTCATCAACATATCCTGTTTATAATCTTTTCATTGGAAGCAATTTAATAATATTCAACTATCTCACAACCAATGCTTTAGTACCTAGCATAACCACTGCCTACTGACTTGTAATGTTCCATTAATTTTATTTCATAGGAAGAGAGGTGCCAGATGATTAGATTAAGGCCACAAACTGCTACCACATAACCTTGTACCCTACTACATAATAGAAGGTGAAGGGACGACGACGTTTCGGTCCATTCTGGGCCATTCTCAAGTCGATTGTGAGAATGACTTGAGAATGGATCAGAACCGACCGAAACGTCGTCGTCCCTTCACCTTCTAGTGTGTGGTCTGGTCAACATACTTTAGCCACGTTATTGTGACTCATCGCCTGCCTACTACATACATTCTGTGCACTCTTCACACTTAATCCATGCTTACTTACACACTTAGTATGTCTACCTAACCACTTAAGAACATGAGAACATTGGAGGCCTGTTGATTAATGCACAGCAGATCCTATAAGAACATAGGAATGAAGGTAACTGCAGAAGGCCTATTGGCCCATACGAGGCAGCTCTTACTTATATCCACCCAATCTCTATATCCATATCTAGCAGGGACTAAAGTATTTGATAAGGGTCCCAATCAACCATGTCAGTGCATTATCTTTAAGCTTTTTATTTACCACAATTTGTACACCACATCTTTCCAGGATATTAATCGTTTACTTTATTCCCCAAACACCACAGATCTCAGATTGTCTATTTCTACTGCTCTAATTCTTGATTTTTCTCATTTCTGTCACAGTAGCATCTTGCATCCATTTGTACAGGTAGGAACTACTGCATTACTTCTTTATGCAGTCCACTAGCTGCATCTCTTTCTAAATGGTCCTTTCTATCCGGCCACCAAATGTACAAATTATTAAATTTACCAAGGTCCTAATGCTTTCTGATGATTCTCATCCTAATATAGTTGCTCTTATTTCTGCTAGATGATGTGAAGGTGCTGTAATTGTTAAGTAAGGAGAAAAGTAACAAACTTTCTTTTCGTGCAAATGTAAGGAGAATACTTGTTATTTTAATAATTGAGAAGTTAAGATTAAACAATGATTTTGTAGAATATAAAAAATCACGTTCAGTATATTAATTTCCATCAAATCTCACCAGAAACTTCTCTTGCTGCTACCCATATCTCAAAGCTCTAATCATGTTCCAATCACCGAGTAACTAATCAAAGAACACTTCATGTTTGTATGACCAACCTGCAAAGGCAGTGAGATACTGAGCAGCATGTCCCTTTGAATGCCTTGCTACAAGTGGTATTGTTGGCCTCGTGTCATCCATTCCGCTTGCCAAATTTCTCTGAAAAGAAAAAACAAACAGAAGCGAGTAAGTTTCTATGTATGTTTCACTAATTTTGGGTTAGGTTTTTACCTTTTTGTCTCAATTATATTTTTACTGTACATTTTCTCAATTCAATCCAAAACTAATTTGTATAAAATGTTATGAATAAATTCTGATGTATAATAATGCAGTACTGTAATTCATTTTGCTGGGGACAGGCAGCCTGTGTACATACATACATAGGTTTACATAACAGTTGAATTACTGACCCGTCCCAGGAACCAATCTAAAACAATTGACTGATTACTGGGTACCTGTTTACTGTTAGGTGAAGAGACATTAGGTGAAAGGAAATGTGCCCAACCATTTCTGTCCCACCCAGAACTTGAACCCAGAATTCCTGATTGTGAGTGAAGAACGAGCCCAGCTGTACTAATGTTCTAATATGACACATATTCCAACGTAAGAATGTGGGATATATTCCAAAAATAGTTACCTGGTGGACTCACCTGTGATGGTGAAGCAGGTGTGCCAATCAGTGGTTGCGTTGCGTGCTCTTCCTCCTCAGCTCCCCAGGGGCTCCACTCCCCTTCACTCTCACTATCAACCATATCAGTGTTATAACAATGGACTTCAGTATCTTCTAATCTGCAAATAACAATGGAGATGTGAATTACAGCTCTGAAAAATACTTGGTATTAGACGTAATATCATTGACCAATATAAAATCTGATATTTTTCTCTTAGTTATTCATGATAACTTGTTGATCTGATATACCCAATGTTTAAGATAATACAGTATATAGTACAATACGAAATGTGACTCAGAGGAGTGTTTATTTCTTGCCACAAGAATTCTTCATGTACTATTTAAAATATAATGTAAACATCAATTTGAGAGAATAAAAACTTAATTGATGAATAAAACAATGAAAAGCAACAGTAGAAGACTAAGGTATTTGAGGAGGCAAGAGCTTTCAGGATAATAGTTTCCCAAGATGCAAAGCACAACAGTTTTCTAACTTTTGGGGCCTGTTTATTGCTACAGTAGGTGAACTGATACAACAGGTGTATGAAAACATGCCCATATATCTTGTCTTGCCTGGTAATCACACCTAGGATCATTCAGATATGACCTGACTGCATAGGTGTAGGGTCCTACATAAAGGTAGGGTCATTATATGCTTAATTCATTTCAGATTCAGATTCAGATGTTTATTCAGGTAAGGTATATACATACAAGTGATGTTACATTAATGGATTGATATATAGATAGAGCTAGTACATACAATGCCTAAAGCCACTATTACGCAATGCGTTTCGGGCAAGAAAAACATTAATATCTAGAACTTAATACTAATTGAGCATAAAGAATAAAAAGTGTTGAGAACAAATACAAATAAAGATAAAAAAAAGGGGGAACATGACTGAAAAAGCAGCACAAATACAATAGGTTGACAAACAGTGTTGATTAAAAAAAAAAAAAAAAAAAAGAAAATAACAGACATGGGTTGACAATAGAGGAGTGAGGTAGATTACAAGGAATTTATTAGGTAGTGTTTAGTTTTTATCTTAAACTGGTTGAGAGAGGTACAGTCTTTAACATGGTTGGGAAGGTCATTCCACATTCTGGGCCCCTTGATTTGCAGAGCATTTCTAGTTTGATTAAGACGTACTCTAGGAATATCAAAACTGTATTTATTTCTGGTGTGGTGCTCATGGGCTCTGTTACAACCTTCTATGAAGCTTTTAAGATCAGGATTGGCATTATAGTTTAGCGTTTTATATATGTATAATACACATGAGAGAATGTGCAGTGACTTAATATCTAACATATTCAGAGATTTGAGTAGGGGTACCGAGTGATGTCTGGGGCCAGAGTTGGATATTGTTCTAATAGCAGCTTTGTGTTGGGTAATTAGAGGACGTAAGTGATTTTGGGTAGTAGAACCCCAAGCAGAAATACCATAGTTGAGATAAGGATAGATAAGGGAGTAATAGAGTCACCAGGGCAGGGCGTGGTACATAATATCTGATCTTAGAAAGAATGCCCACAGTTTTTGAAACTTTTTTTGATATATTTAGAATGTGTCCCTGGAAATTCAGCTTGTGGTCAATGAGAATGCCAAGGAATTTGCCATCTAATTTGTTACAAATTTGGGTATTGTTTATTTTGAGATTTATTTGATTAGAGGATTTATTGCCAAACAGAATATAGAAAGTTTTGTCAATGTTAAGGGTGAGTTTGTTGGCAGTTAGCCAAAGATGGACTTTATTTAGCTCAGTATTTACTGTGGCATTTAGAGCAAGAGGGTCAGGACTGGAGTAAATGAAGGTTGTGTCGTCAGCAAATAGAATTGGTTTGAGGTGTTGGGAGGCATTTGGAAGGTCATTAATGTAGATGAGAAAGAGGAGAGGGCCAAGTATGCTGCCCTGAGGAACACCAATGTTGATGGGTTGGGTGGGAGAAATTGTATTATTCACAGAAACATATTGGACCCTGTCAGTAAGGTAGGACTCGAGGTATTGTAGGGAGTGTCCTCTGACTCCATAATGATGTAATTTAAGAAGAAGGTTATGGTGGTTGACAGTATCAAAAGCTTTACGCAGGTCCACAAATAACCCAACAGGGAACTCCTTTTTATCAAGAGCTGTATGAATCGAGTTAAGCATACTAATAAGTGCATCGTTAGTGCTTTTTTTGGGTCTGAAGCCATATTGGCAAGGGCTAAGTATATTGAGTTTGGCTAGATATGAGTAAAGCTGCTTATATATAAGTTTTTCAAAAATTTTTGACAAGTTTGGCAGGATTGATATAGGTCTGTAGTTGTTAACATCTGTGGGGTCACCACATTTGTGGACAGGCGTTACTCTCGCTTTTTTTAGAATATCTGGAAAGGTTTGGAGTTCAAGTGACTTGTTGAAGAGCAAAGCAATAGCAGGGGCTAAAGATCTGGAGGCTTTTTTGTAAATTAAAGTTGGTATCTCCTCAAGGGCACCAGACTTGGTTTTAAGGGAAAGGATTATCTCATTGACGTCAGTGGAGTTAATAGGCTTTAGGTACAGAGACTGTGGATAGTTACCTGTAAGATAGTCCTTAATGTCAGTACTGGAAGATGGAATATCATTTGCAAGGGATGAACCAATGGAAGAGAAGAACCTATTGAACTCAATAGCAGAATCAGAGGCTGAAAGCTGACCATCGTTATTAGACAGGAGAGTCGGTTTGTTATTTAAAGATTTCTTTGATCCCAATATTTGTGAAATTGTGCTCCAAGTTTGTTTAATGTTGCTCTTTATTTGAGTAAATTTATCTTCGTAGTATTTAGTTTTGGCTCGTCTAATTATCTTAGATAGCAATAATGAGTAATTCTTTGAGAATTCTTTGGAGACAATTCCTAACCTATACTTCTTCTCAAGGTCGTGTTTTTTGTTAATGGATTTCAGTATTCCCTTTGTAAGCCAAGGATTGTTAAGCCTTTTGCTTGTGACTTGTTTAGTAAGCCTAGGACAGTGGGTGTTATAAAGGCTAAGAGTTGTTTGTAGAAAAGATTGCACTGCTAGGTTGATGTCCCCTATGTTACCTAACTCGGACTCCCAGTTGACATTATCAGCAGCAGTTATAAAATTGTTTATAGCAGTTTCATTGTGCAGCCTAAAGCTTAACTCCCTTGTTTCTAGAGGTGGTGTGCTAATGTTAGTTAAGAGAAATGTGGGGTAGTGGTCTGTAGTGCTATCGGTGATTATACCTGAAGTAAGCGGAGAGGTTATGTTGGTCCAGATGTGATCTAGAGTCGTGGCAGTGCTATCAGTGATTCTAGTAGGTCTAGTGATTAAGGGTATGAGGAAGCAGGAATTCATACAGTTGAGGAAGCTAACAGCAGTAGGGTGTTCTGGCTCGCAGAGGTCAATATTAAAGTCCCCTGCGATAATTAGGTGGTTTTTGTTCAGTCTGTTATCAAGTATTAGATTTCTAAGGTTTGAGTTGAATTCAGACACATCAGTGTTGGGAATTCTATAAACTGCACCCACAGACAGGATAGACTCGGCACCCTTGACTCTGAAGCTGGCGAAGATATACTCCCCATAGCAGTCTCTAGTTCTAATTTCTTTTAAGCATGTTAGTTCTTGGTGGTAGTAAAGAGCAGTGCCACCACCTCTCTGAAGTTGACGACAGTTGTGAATTGCTGAGTAGTTAGGCATGTTAAAGAGTTGAGTAGTATCCTCTTTCAACCATGTTTCAGTAAGTATAATAAAAGAGAATTTGTTGCCAATAGTTTCAATCAAGGCACTAACATCATCGAAGTGTTTACCTAGGGATCTAACGTTCAAATTGATTACAGAGATATTGTGATTATGAGTTAATACATTGTTTACATCATGTGCTGCAAAATATCTGCAATTTAGATCATTAAAGTGATTATTGTCATAGATAGTGGATAAGAGGTTAAGTTCTGGGTCTATACTTGTCTGCATAAAAAAAGCTGATTGTAGAATCAGAAATAAGTAGAAATAAGCTATAAAATAGGGAAAAATATATACACAATACTGTACAAAACAAACACAAAAGGGGCTTACAGGGGTACAATGGAGTAAGGGAGTATGGCTAGGCTAGGCAACCTAGGCAATTAATGAGATTAAAGAAAAAACATGTAAACATGGACTATACAAAACACAAGATATAGAAATACAAAACAAAAAATATAAGCAAGACTAAGCAATACAAAAAAAAAAAAACAAATTGAGCAAAAATGAGAAAAAAAAAAAAATGAGGTAGATTGCTTACGAGTACTCTCAGGTACACTGTAAGTAACAGTGAACAGTAAGTACAGTAAGTAAGTGAACAGTAACAGTAAGTAACAGTTTCACAATGAAATAACTACCTTCAGAAACTTGTGTAAGGAATCATTCAGAACCTTGTATACCTCATATGCCAGATCAATACAGGAATATGTGGCTCCAGCGTGGAGTTCACACTAGTCAATCACAAGACGAATTTAGAAAACGTTCAGGGGTATGCCACCACGCTAGTCACCGAGCTGACAGGAATGAGCTATGAGGAAAGATTAGGGAATTGAACCTCACAACACTGAAAGACAGAAGAGTTAGGGGAAGACATGATCACTACCTACAAAATTCTCGGTGGAATTGACAGGGTAGATAAAGATAAATTTTTAACACGGGTGGTATGCGAACAAGAGGACATAGGTGGAAACTGATTTTCCCAAAGTAGCCACAGGGACATTAAAAAGAACTTTTTCAGTGTCAGAGTAGTTAACAGATGGAATGCATTAGGCAGTGATGTGGTGGAGGCTGACTCCATACATAGCTTCAAATGTAACTATGATAGAGCCCAGTAGGCATAGAAATCTATACACCAGTTGATTGACAGTTGAGAGGCGGGACCAAAGTGCCAGAGCTGAACCCCGCAAGCTAAAGTAGGGGAGTACCATATCACAGACCAGTGTTAACACATACTATTATCACCTATACCAGTGTCAACCGAGATCAGTATCAGTATCAGTGTCACTGGGACCAGAATAGCAACAAGCACGAGCAACGTAACTAATGGCTATTTACAGCTAACGCCTTAAACATCAAAGTTGTTGTAGGCGTTGTTAAGGGCAACACGGGAACCAGCCAGTATTGTACCCTGCCACCTCAAGACGTCAACAAAAGGGGGGCGGCTAAATATTTACGTAGGGGATACGACCTCTTAACTACAAACCTAAACTCTTTTTAACCACTTGGATAGTCGCCCCTATGGTGGTGCAAATAATAAAACTGCAATAATTCATTGGATTATTTGCAACTAGACCGAAGTTGCACACATTGATTTTTTGCCGTCAGATGTGGATAGTTCAATAAGCATCCCCTATTCAACCAGTGAGAGGTAGTTTATTATCACCCCGAAGCCCGACTAGTTGTGTACGCGGACCCCGACCAGTTTTGTAACTGCAAGACTAGCATGAACGAACCGAACAAACATCACCTGAAGCACAACCATGCACGAACCAAAGCCCAAGTGACACCCCCATAGCCTAAACAGTTATGCAACCAGAGCCCGACCAGTTCTGTAACTGGAACCCGACAAGTTGTGTAACTGAAGCCCCACCAGTTGTGTAAGTGGACCCCGACCAGTTCTGTAACTGGACCCCGACCAGTTGTGTAACCGCAAGCCAAGCATTGACAAACCGAACAAACATCACCTGAAGCACAACCATGCACGAACCGAAGCCCGACCATGCACAACCCGAAGCTCCAATGACACCCCCGGAGCCCGACCAGTTAAGTAACCGGAGCCCGACCAGTTATTTAACCGGAGCCCGACCAGTTATTTAACCGGAGCCCGACCAGTTGTGTAACCAAAGCCGACCAGTTGTGTAACCAGACCCCGACCAGTTGTGTAACCGCAAGACTAGCATGAACGAACCGAACAAACAACATCTGAAGCACAACCATGCAGGTACCGAAGCCCGACCTTACAGAACCCGAATCCCAGGTGACACCCCCATACCCCGAACAGTTATGTAACCGGAGCCCGACCAGTTGTGTAACCGCAAACCAAGCATGAACAAACCGAACAAACATCACCTGAAGCACAACCATGCACGAACCGAAGCCCGACTATGCACAACCCGAAGCTCCAGTGACACCCCCGGAGCCCGACCAGTTGAGTAACCGGAGCCCGACCAGTTGTGTAACTGGACCCCGACCAGTTCTGTAACTGGACCCCGACCAGTTGTGTAACCACAAGCCAAGCATGAACAAACCGAACAAACATCACCTGAAGCACAACCATGCAGGTATCGAAGCCCGACCATGCACAACCCGAATCCTAGGTGACATTCCCATACCACGAACAGTTATGTAACCGGAGCCCGACCAGTTCTGTAACTGGACCCCGACCAGTTGTGTAACCGCAAGCCATGCATGAACAAACCGAACAAACATCACCTGAATCACAACCATGCACGAACCGAAGCCCGACCATGCACAACCCGAAGCTCCAATGACACCCCCGGAGCCCGACCAGTTAAGTAACCGGAGCCCGACCAGTTAATTAAGTAACCGGAGCCCGACCAGTTAGTTAACCGGAGCCCGACCAGTTGTGTAACCAAAGCCCGACCAGTTGTGTAGCCAGACCCCGACCAGTTGTGTAACCCTAAGCCTAGCATGAACGAACCGAACAAACAACATCTGAAGCCCGACTATGCACAACCCGAAGCCCAAGTGACACCCCCATAGCCCAAACAGTTATGTAACCGGAACCCGACCAGTTCTATAACCGGACCCCGACCAGTTGTGTACCCTCAAGCCTAGCAAGTATACATCTCATCCTACTCCCCCCAAGCTAAACAAACAGCCCCCAGAGCCCAACCAAACTCCATTCCTAGGTCTACCAAACAAACACTTAGTCCTACCAAAAACCCTCCACTTGTCCTAAAGTCCTAAAGTCCTTGAGATCTTGTCCTTAGTCCTACCGAAAACCAACTATGGAGCCATAGCAAACAAATTGAGCTCTGTACGAAAAGAGGAACCCGGATTTCTAGCAAACATACAACCCTGGAGGCCTAGCAAACAAACCTGGAGCACTAGTACACAACCATTGGTGCACAAACATGCACGAACCGAAGCCCGACCATGCACAACCCGAATCCCAGGTGACACCCCCATACCCCGAACAGTTATGTAACCGGAGCCCGACCAGTTGTGTAACTGGACCCCGACCAGTTGTGTAACCGCAAACCAAGCATGAACAAACCGAACAAACATCACCTGAAGCACAACCATGCACGAACCGAAGCCCGACTATGCACAACCCGAAGCTCCAGTGACACCCCCGGAGCCCGACCAGTTGAGTAACCGGAGCCCGACCAGTTGTGTAACTGGACCCCGACCAGTTCTGTAACTGGACCCCGACCAGTTCTGTAACCACAAGCCAAGCATGAACAAACCGAACAAACATCACCTGAAGCACAACCATGCAGGTATCGAAGCCCGACCATGCACAACCCGAATCCTAGGTGACATTCCCATACCACGAACAGTCATGTAACCGGAGCCCGACCAGTTCTGTAACTGGACCCCGACCAGTTGTGTAACCGCAAGCCATGCATGAACAAACCGAACAAACATCACCTGAATCACAACCATGCACGAACCGAAGCCCGACCATGCACAACCCGAAGCTCCAATGACACCCCCGGAGCCCGACCAGTTAATTAAGTAACCGGAGCCCGACCAGTTAGTTAACCGGAGCCCGACCAGTTGTGTAACCAAAGCCCGACCAGTTGTGTAGCCAGACCCCGACCAGTTGTGTAACCCTAAGCCTAGCATGAACGAACCGAACAAACATCTGAAGCCCGACTATGCACAACCCGAAGCCCAAGTGACACCCCCATAGCCCAAACAGTTATGTAACCGGAACCCGACCAGTTCTATAACCGGACCCCGACCAGTTGTGTACCCTCAAGCCTAGCAAGTATACATCTCATCCTACTCCCCCGAAGCTAAACAAACAGCCCCCAGAGCCCAACCAAACTCCATTCCTAGGTCTACCAAACAAACACTTAGTCCTACCAAAAACCCTCCACTGGTCCTAAAGTCCTAAAGTCCTTGAGATCTTGTCCTTAGTCCTACCAAAAACCAACTATGGAGCCATAGCAAACAAATTGAGCTCTGTACGAAAAGAGGAACCCGGATTTCTAGCAAACATACAACCCTGGAGGCCTAGCAAACAAACCTGGAGCACTAGTACACAACCATTGGTGCACAAACATGCACGAACCGAAGCCCGACCATGCACAACCCGAATCCCAGGTGACACCCCCATACCACGAACAGTTATGTACCAGTTCTGTAACTGGACCCCGACCAGTTCTGTAACTGGACCCCGACCAGTTCTGTAACTGGACCCCGACCAGTTCTGTAACTGGACCCCGACCAGTTCTGTAACTGCAAACCAAGCATGAACAAACCGAACAAACATCACCTGAATCACAACCATGCACGAATCGAAGCCCGACCATGCACAACCCGAAGCTCCAATGACACCCCCGGAGCCCGACCAGTTAAGTAACCGGAGCCCGACCAGTTAATTAAGTAACCGGAGCCCGACCAGTTAGTTAACCGGAGCCCGACCAGTTGTGTAACCAAAGCCCGACCAGTTGTGTAGCCAGACCCCGACCAGTTGTGTAACCCTAAGCCTAGCATGAACGAACCGAACAAACAACATCTGAAGCCCGACTATGCACAACCCGAAGCCCAAGTGACACCCCCATAGCCCAAACAGTTATGTAACCGGAACCCGACCAGTTCTATAACCGGACCCCGACCAGTTGTGTACCCTCAAGCCTAGCAAGTATACATCTCATCCTACTCCCCCCAAGCTAAACAAACAGCCCCCAGAGCCCAACCAAACTCCATTCCTAGGTCTACCAAACAAACACTTAGTCCTACCAAAAACCCTCCACTGGTCCTAAAGTCCTAAAGTCCTTGAGATCTTGTCCTTAGTCCTACCAAAAACCAACTATGGAGCCATAGCAAACAAATTGAGCTCTGTACGAAAAGAGGAACCCGGATTTCTAGCAAACATACAACCCTGGAGGCCTAGCAAACAAACCTGGAGCACTAGTACACAACCATTGGTGCACAAACATGCACGAACCGAAGCCCGACCATGCACAACCCGAATCCCAGGTGACACCCCCATACCACGAACAGTTATGTAACTGGACCCCGACCAGTTCTGTAACTGGACCCCGACCAGTTCTGTAACTGGACCCCGACCAGTTCTGTAACTGGACCCCGACCAGTTCTGTAACTGCAAACCAAGCATGAACAAACCGAACAAACATCACCTGAATCACAACCATGCACGAATCGAAGCCCGACCATGCACAACCCGAAGCTCCAATGACACCCCCGGAGCCCGACCAGTTAAGTAACCGGAGCCCGACCAGTTAATTAAGTAACCGGAGCCCGACCAGTTAGTTAACCGGAGCCCGACCAGTTGTGTAACCAAAGCCCGACCAGTTGTGTAGCCAGACCCCGACCAGTTGTGTAACCCTAAGCCTAGCATGAACGAACCGAACAAACAACATCTGAAGCCCGACTATGCACAACCCGAAGCCCAAGTGACACCCCCATAGCCCAAACAGTTATGTAACCGGAACCCGACCAGTTCTATAACCGGACCCCGACCAGTTGTGTACCCTCAAGCCTAGCAAGTATACATCTCATCCTACTCCCCCCAAGCTAAACAAACAGCCCCCAGAGCCCAACCAAACTCCATTCCTAGGTCTACCAAACAAACACTTAGTCCTACCAAAAACCCTCCACTGGTCCTAAAGTCCTAAAGTCCTTGAGATCTTGTCCTTAGTCCTACCAAAAACCAACTATGGAGCCATAGCAAACAAATTGAGCTCTGTACGAAAAGAGGAACCCGGATTTCTAGCAAACATACAACCCTGGAGGCCTAGCAAACAAACCTGGAGCACTAGTACACAACCATTGGTGCACAAACATGCACGAACCGAAGCCCGACCATGCACAACCCGAATCCCAGGTGACACCCCCATACCACGAACAGTTATGTAACTGGACCCCGACCAGTTCTGTAACTGGACCCCGACCAGTTCTGTAACTGGACCCCGACCAGTTCTGTAACTGGACCCCGACCAGTTCTGTAACTGCAAACCAAGCATGAACAAACCGAACAAACATCACCTGA